TTTTTTCTTTCTGTGTCAGTGTGAGCGTGGGCCTTGGGCTACCAAGGCTGTGGCTGTGGGGGAGAGAATTATGAAAAAGAAAACAAAATTTTTTATAAAAATATAATATATCCTACTATTTGATTATTCAAAAAGAAAGAATTTACAATATTATTATTTATAAATAATTAGTTGATCAAAACTTCCAATAAAACAAATTTTTTCAAAAACATATTAAATATTCTAGTCTTTGATTATTCATAAAGAAATTTATAAATAATTAATTATTTTAACCGTCCAACAAAATCACATTATCTTTCATGTTAGTGATTAGGCATATCTCGCTATTGATTTTGTCTGTATCTGTTGCCAAGTAGTAATAAACTCCACATAAAAAAAAAACTAAAATTCCTCCAATACCACAACAACCATAAAGAATTAACAAATATAGTACCCCATGGTATATTATCTAAAGGTAGGGTGCTCATCATATTTCTCAATATCATGAATTAATACACATGGATTCAATTTAGTCTATGGTTTCTTTAATATTTTTTTCTCCTTGTACATTTTGGTATATGTTCAACACATTTGATGTGGTGAGGTGGTGTGGTGCAATTAGCAGAGACAAAGTTAGTCAATTTTTGTTGAAAGTTCAAAGATGAAGAGGAATAAAATCTAAAATTTTTCAAAACTTATCATTTAAATAACAATTAAAAGATTCATAATAAATAATAATTTTAAATAATATGTAAATCAAATAGAATAAAAAAAGAAAAACTTCCAGAAAAATTATGCTTGACAATGTGTTTTGGATTTATAAAATATAATGCATAGAATATAAATAGTTAAATATAATATGCAAAATTTTACACAATGTTAAATATATAAATAATTAAATACTATAAATAAAATGAAAAAATTAAAAGAAAATTTTACCTCCTCTTAACAAAACTCACAAGCTCATAACTATTTTTAAAGAATGAAATGTGTTTTAGTAGTGAGTTATATTGGAGAGAGTAATGTAAAAATGAAAAAGCAAAAGAGAAAAGAAATAAAAAAAGAAAGAGAGGGAGAAAGATATATGAATAAACTTAAATATTATGGTAAATTTGATTAGGTTTTATGAAGTTATTTTATTATTTATTTATTATATTAATTATTAAATAAAAATTATTTTGAAGAGTATTAAAAAATTTATATAATAAATAAAAATTTCAAAAATTTTGAAATGATCGTGGCCCCTTAGAACAATATGACCCTCTGCCTCAGGGTGCAAGTTAATACCAATAGTACTTGCAACAATCATTTCGTGCTATACCCTTTATTTCTAACTTCTTTTGAAAATTGTGTATGGTTCTCGAAATAATTTTACTGACAATCAACACTCCATTACGATGACCTATCAATAGAAAAGAAAGAGCAAAAAAAAAAAATCAAAATAAATTTAAAATAAAATTTTTTAAAGTTTTAATTACAAATTATAAAAAAAATATTTCAATTTTAAAATTAAATTAAATGTTTAACTATTAATGTTTTAATATTTTAAAAATAAGGAATAAAGAGTGAAATAAAATAATAATATTAATATTGAAATTATAAATTATTAATATTTTAAAATAAAATAAAATAAAAATAAATAATCATATTAAAATTTTTTAATGAACAAGTAAATTAACAAAAAAAAATCCTTTATAAAGGAACTATCTTTTAAAGTAAGGATGATGGATTAGGTAACTAGTTAAGAACTAGTCAAGATGTGAGCGGTGAGTGGTGGAGTAAGTTGCATTTAAGCAATGATGCAAAATCATGTTGTTGATTGGTTAGTGATTAGGCACTCTTAATCTCCCTTGAGTGTGTCGTTACAGGATTGGAAACTACTTTGATTTTGTGCTCATTTTTTTTGACTGATCATAGATAGCCACCTGAAAATGCATTATTGTTTTGGGGAAGTCTCGTCTTAACTTCCTCCATTAATACTAATCCAATCTTTCATTTTGATTTTATTTTTTTATTTTATATTTCAAAAAAAAAATTTTAATCTTTGAGAAAAAAATCATACATTAACTAATAAATTAAATCTTTAAAGGGTTTCACTTTAATGTTGTTTAATCATTTACTATTTAATTTAATTACCTTCATTTTCTTTTATATATTTTAAGTTTACTTAGTTAATGGGTTATGACTCATGACAATAAACCAAAAAAAAGATATGATATATTAATGAAATGAGCTGTGGTCAATGGGTGATTTGGGTTTCTCATGTTTCCACCGTTGATTTTAATTTTTTTAATTATTGAAGTACTACTATACTATAGAGAAGTAGAATATATTTTTAAATGACATTATATGACGTAACTTTAAAATTAAAATAATCAAAATTTAAATACGTTAACATAATTATCATATTTGTATTCATTACAAATTAAATGAATTAAATTATGATCTAATCTTAATTATAATTGTAATATTATTAAATCATGATTACGATTATTATCTTGATTGTAAGTATTTATTTACGTTTTCCCGTGGCTCATCGTGAAGAACCGAAGGATTCTTCTCGCTGTACTCTGAACCTTAAAAAACAGATGGCAAGTCAAACTCAAACAAATAAAAACCAAGTGGCTAGCAGCCCAACGCCTCACACCTCTCTCTCTCTTTCTTCTTCAGGTTCTCTTCCTTGAAATATGGAAAGTCTCTGTTTCTTCATTGTCTGAAACGAAACCACGTCAATTTTTTTTTTCCATCTTCCGAAGCCTTGTACCTCCATTAACGCCCTTCTCCATTTAATCATTTCAGTTTAATAAGTCTGAACCCCAAAACCTTCCTACCATCGAAACATCCAAATCTTATCACACCATTAAAAACCATATTCTTTTTGTTTTCCTTCAAGCCTTTGACTCTCCATTAAACAACAATTTTTTGTTTTTTTGGGTATTGTTCCTGAATCCTCACGCGTTTGTTTAGCTTTGAGTCCTCTCTTGTTCGTTTTTTGCGGCGTTCAAACTTCAACTTCTAGTATTTGGTGCGCCACTTCTCTCCTATACTACTAGTATATAACGCGTTATGTTAAATTAAATGGGTAGTTAAGTTAGCTTAAGCTGTGATATGATTTGACCCCTTTTTCTTTTCTTGTTTCTTAATTTCACCTTTATATCAGCTTTTTCATGTTGTTCATGTAGTTTCTGTATTATTAATCTGGGCTGTTGTTTTTGTTGTTAAGTTCAATTGTTTATATTATTTAAGTGTAAAACGAAGCTGGAAAAGTTTCACCTTTCTAAGATTTTTTTTTCTGTTAAGATTTAACATTGTTAGGAAGATTAGCTGCAACCCAATTGGAGTAAAGCTGGGTTTGTTATAATGGTTCTATTTTATGTACCCTTTCATCTTTTTTGGTTTGTTCTGTTACTGGAGGGCACATCTCTAAAACTATTGAAAAGGATGTTGATTTATGGCTATTAAGATTGTTCCCAATTAAATCTCAAAAGTTTCTTGTTGAATACAATGTAATTACCCTTTCATCAAACGTGGGATCCACTTGAATGTAATGGGAGCTTATCTGTGGGTTCTGTTTCTTTGTCTTATTCGATTTTCTATCATGTTCTCTTCCTCACTGTATCATAACCACTTCAATTATTGGAAACTTCACTTTTTCTTTGGTAGATGATAATAAGGGCAGAAAATATTTTTTTTTTTGGGTTTATGGTTGCCTACCCACTTCAATTGATAAGAATTACTATCAAAATATAAATTTCGTTAGTTGTTATATTTGTTTCAAACAGTATTAAAAATCAAAGAATAAATGGAAGAAGGGAAAAAGTAGGTGTTGCAAGGGTTTCTGATAAGTTTTTTTTTTTTGAAAGTTATTCTGATAAGTTTTTAATGTGTGAAAATTAAATAAGCAACTATTAGTATTTCTTTTTTCTTTCAGTAGAGGGTTGGCCAAGCGAGCCAACCCTATTGGGGTTCCACAAATTATGTCGGCCGTATGTCTTGATAGCCATACAGCACCCACCAGACGAGGGTGAGCGTGGCATATTTAGGCAACCGACCCTTTTAGCAACTATTAGTATTTGCTGCTTCGTTAGACCTATGTGAGCTATGCAAAGAAATACATTTCTTAGTTGCTTATTGGAATAATACAATTGAATAGATAGATGCCCTTGTAGTTCCACATATGATTGGTCCTTGCTAGCCTTTTTCTTCCAACAAATTGACTAAGCTGCATATGCGAGTTTCAGCATCGGGTTTATATTGATGTGACAGAATTATACATTGCTTAAATATTGTTATGTTCTTTGTTCTGTTTGAGCGGCTCTACTTCAGTGCTTAGGCATATTGCAGCTACATCATGTCAAACTCCTTTTTTCTTTTGGTTGTGTTTGGTAACTCAGGATTGGAACTTGAGACCCCTTTTTAGAGATAACATGTAGCTATCATTTGGTTATGGCCTTCACCATATCTTGTGTGTACTTGTTAATTTTAAAAAAGAATACCATTCATTACTGAAACATGTTCAGTTGCTTATCTGTAGAGCCACTCTATTTTAATGTGGAAAATCTTGGAATTAGATCAGTGTTAGGTGATGCTTATGTTTCTAAGGGCAAGGAAGTTATATGAATGATTTTATATTGAAAAATAAATTTCCCCCTATTCAATATTTGAAGTATTTAGCAAACAGTCTGAGTAGGTCCCATTTGGATATCTTTCAATTTATCATTTGATGATT